AGGACTTGGGCCATCTTCTACTGCTATCCCAGGCCATAGCAGAGAGCTAGATTGGAAGAGGAGCAGCCGGGACTAGAACCAGCGCCCATATGGGATGCTGGCGCTTCAAGCAAGGGCTTTAACCTGCTGCGCCACAGCGCCGGCCCCTACAGCACTTCTTGATTCTGCTTACAAGCTGAAGAAAATCTTTATTTTTAAAGATTTATTTTATTTACTTGAAAGGCAGAGTTTCAGAGAAGGAAAGACAGAGAGAGGTCTTCCATCTGCTGGTTTACTCCCCAAATGGCCACAACAGCCAGGGCTGGGTCAAGCTGAAGCCAGGAACCAGGGGCCTCTTCCAGGTCTCCCATGTAGGTGCAGGGGCCTAGCACTTGGGCCATCTTCTACTGCTTTCCCAGGAGCATTACCAGGGAGCTGGATTGGAAATACTCGAACTGGCACCCATATGGGATGCCAGCACTGCAGGCAGTGGCTTAACCAGCTATACCACAATACTACCCCCACAATGTAACAATTTAAACTCTAGACCAACTTATTGGTTCTCTTTCACAGCTCTCTATTTCTTATCCTTACATCTATTTAAAGAAACTGTTAAATGAACTTTGTTCATAGTGCAGATTTCATGTATCATTTCTCACTAATATTGTCAATCTTAGATAGAAATCTAATTATCCCCTAAAGAGATGCCAAAAAATAATAATAATCCTGGCACAGGTGTATGGCACAGTGATTAAGATGCTGCTTGGGATGCCTATTGGAGTGTCTGGGTTCAAGTCCTAGTTCTTAATTCCAGCTTCGCACTAACATGCACCCTGGCAGGCAGCAAGGGATGGATCAAGTACTTAACCCCTCCCACCCACACAGGAGACCGGAATTGAGTTCCAGGCTCTTGAGCTTGCCCTGGCCCAGGCCCAACATTGTAGGCATTTGGGGAGTAAACCAATAGATAGGAGATCCGTGTGTGTGTGTGTGTATGTGTGTGTGTCTTCGTCCTTCAAACAAAAAATTAAAGTAAAATTATAAAATTAAAAATTCAAAGCTATAATGCTTCCTCTTCCCTTTATGATGAACCTATAACTAAGGTTAAAATGTGGTAAAATCAAATATTGGTGCCATTTAATTTTAGAGATTCATGAAATAGGAAACTCTCAAAGAAATTTACAGGTCCTGGTAGTAACCCACACTATATTTCTTTCTTCTCTTTTTTTTAGAAGGCTTTCATTTAATAAATATAAATTTCATAGGTACAGCTTTAGGAATTTATCAGTTCTTCCCCCCCAACCCACTCTCCCATCCCCTCTCCCATCCCACCTCCTAGTCCTTCTCCCATCCCATTCTTCATTAAGATTCATTTTCAATTATCTTTATATACCGAAGACCAACTCTATACTAAGATTTCAACAGTTTGCACCCAAACAAATACACAAAGTATAAAGTACTGTTTGAAGAAAAGTTTTACTGTTAATTCTCATAATACAACTCATTAAGTACAGAGGTCCTACATGGGGAGCAAGTGCACAGTGACGCCTGTTGTTGATTTAACAATTGACAATCCTATTTATGATGTCAGTGATCACCCAAAGCTCTTGTCATGAGCTGCCAAGGCTATGGAAGCCTTTTGAGTCCACAAACTCCGTCAGTCTTTAGACAGGGCCATAAACAAAGTGGAAGTTTTCTCCTCCCTTCGGAGAAAGGTACCTCCTTCTTTGATGGTCCCTTCTTTCCACTGGGATCTCATTCACAGAGATCCTTCATGTAGGTCATTTTTTGCCACAGTGTTTTGGCTTTCCATATCTGAAATGCTCTCATGGGCTTTTTAGCCAGCTCTGAATGCCTTAAGGGCTGATTCTGCCAGAGTGTTATTTAGGGCGGTTGTGATTCGATGAGTCTGCTGTGTGGCCTGCTTCCCATGTTGAATCCTTCTCTCCATTTTATCTATTGTCATTAGCAGACACTTGGTCTTATTTATGTGATCCCCTTGACACTTATTCCTAACTATATGATCAGTTACACACTTAAAATGATCACTTTAGTAAGATGGCACTAGTACCACCTAGCTTAATGGGATTTGGCAAGTTTTTAGCTTTACCCATAGGAGTAAGTCAGACCCACACTATTTCAACTCTGGTGGGGATGGTGGGGATAGCAAAGAAATAGGAAGATTTAGGGCAGGTAAGGGTAGTAGAAAGAGAAAAAGAGAAGAATTTATTTCTTTGCATAAAGAGAAATAAATTAACTTCAGCAACATCACCTTTCTTTAAGAGGGAACCATAGTATCAAATGTAAATTCTTGGGGCCCATGTTGTGGCACAGCAGCTTAAGTTACCTCTGCAATGCTGGCATCCCATATTTATAGTACTAGTTCAAGTCCTGCTATGGCTTCCTGATAATGTGCCTTAGAAAGCAGCAGATGATGACCTGAGTACTTGTGCCCCTGCCACCTTATAGGAGACCTGGCTCCTAGATTTGGCCTGGACCAGCCCCCGCTATTATAGCCATTTGGGAGGTAAACCAGCAGATCAAAGATTTCTTTCTCTTTCTCTCTCCTCCCTCTGCACTCTGTTTCTGTCTCTCCCTCCCTGTGTCTCTGCCTTTCAAATAAACAAATCTTAAAAAAAAAAAAAAGGTATTCTTATGGCAACTCCATTCAACACAATCTGTATCTATTGAACACTACATGAACCAGAAAGTCTAGCTTGCCACACAATTTCACAATTCACTATGTAGAATATATCTGTTCAAACACCAGAGCTGGTTTTTAAATTTTCTTAAAACCTACTTATGCCTTTTTCCCATTAAAGAAAATTGAGAAACAGGTGATGACATGAATGTAAGAAAAACATGAAGGTGAAGACAAAACCATGAATACTGTGAATACATAACATACGCGTCATAAGATATTTCACATGTTAATGAGTGAAAAACCTGACCCTAAGCTGCCAGCAGCAGGTGTATAGACACCACCACTAAGCAATAACAATTTTACCTGCTCCATAAAACCCTAGTGTTCTAAGATCAGACAGCAGTTTTTTTCATGGGTCCCTTTACAGGCCACCCTTTAATTGACTACGTTTCATGGAGTTGTTTCTGAAAAGGTGTGCAGATGCAGAAAATTCAGCAAAAAGACTTGGGTGGGGAATCCCATGCCACAAAGCATAAACACATAGCTTAGAGAACAGAGAGCTAGTACTGTTCAAAAACCAAATCCCCCGGGCCATGGTTCACTTGGCTAATCCTCCGCCTGCGGCGCTGACACCCCGGATACTAGCCCCAGTTGCTCCTCTTCCAGTCCAGCTCTCTGCTGTGGCCCGGGAGGGCAGCGGAGGATGGCCCAAATGCTTGGGTCCCTGCACCCACACGGGAGACCGGGAGGAAGCACCCGGCTCCTGGTTTCGGATTGGCACAGCGCCAGCCATAGCGGCCATTAGGGGAGTGAACCAACGAAGGAAGACCTTTCTCTCTGGCTCTCTCACTGTGTATAACTCTCTGTCTCTCTCTCTCACTGTTTAACTCTGCTGGCAAAAAAAAAAAAATCAAAATTGATATTGGTAAATTAAATATGATCAAAAAAGAAGTCTCTTAGAAAATGTCTAAGAAAATGTTTTATTTATTACAAATTGATTTTATAGCCTGTAGGTTAGTTTACTACACAATCATTTTAGGGTTATAATGCTCTCTCTCAAAATAAATAAGTGTTTTAAAACAAGAAAAGAGTTACAGTTCATTCCCCAGATGGCTGCAGTGGCCAGCACTGGGCCAGGACAAAGTTAGGAGCTTCAGCAGGGTCTCCCAGTGGGTGGTAGGAGCCCAAACACTTGGGCCATCTTCCGCTGCTTTTCTCTGGCCATTAGCAGGGAGCTGGATTGGAAGTGGAGTAGCCAGGTCTCCAACCTGTGCCAATATGGGATGCCAACATCACCGACAGTGGCTTAACCAGCAACACCACAATGCTGGCCCTACTAGATACTCTCAAACAAGCAACATTTCAAAAACAAAAACACTGATAATGACAGAATGAAGCATTACAGAATCTATTCTGACATGCTAATACCATCAAACAACTTTTAATTTCTTTTGCAAGGACAAACAGTATTAGAACCACTAAGTAAAAATACCACTTGTTCTACTGACCATGGACGATCATAAAAGTTTTTCAATCATTACAACAACCATCCCAACACTGACAATACTTTGTTCAATGGTATATTTACATCCTCTGGTAAAATAACAAAGTGGCAACTTTATAGATAGAAAAGATTTTAAGGCCAATTAGACAGATCCCTTTGTTTTGAAAAGGGGACAAAACAGACCCAGACAAACTGAATGACTTGGCTAAATGGACAGAGATAAGTGGTAGAGGGCCAGGGTGGCTGGCACTCAGATGGATCAACTGCCTAACATTAGTTAAATTAGTTTCTCATTTCTATTTTAGGACCTAAACACAGTTTATATAATAGATGTTACATGAACCAATACTCAGGTTTTCTCCGTTAGTTTCACAGCTACCTCAGTCAACAAATATTTCCTGCCAAGATGCAACTGATTTCCTAGCTTGGCATTTACTGTAAAACAGCACAAAAACTGCACTGCTTAATTACAATAAAGAAAATCTAAAATCTGAATAAAAAAGCACTAATATGTAAGTGCTGGGAAGGTGGTAATACTTAATAGACAAACTCATTTCAAATTAGTCTGTGATGAAAACATCAATCTCTTTACAGTGTGAACATAATCCCACCTCCACACACACAAGCAGCAGCCCTCAGAAGAGTGCTCTCAAAACAGTATGACAGACTAAAATGTGCCAACTGCAGATACAGGAAAGCATCAAATAAGAATGACATTAAATTCAAACAATTAAAACGATTCCTAATTTAACACCTTGTGATGAAATTAAAATATCCATACGGTTTGTTTTTAGGAGTTTGTAAAAAGGCACACACTACAGATAAGCTTCTCTGCAAAATACACATGATTTTCAAAAAAGTGAAGTAGCTTACGTGGGGACTCAGGCTGTATGAGGAGCACAAAATCCTATCAAGGTGTTTCTCAACCTAAGGAACAGAAAACCTAATTTAAAAAGGCACAACTAGGCAAGAGCTTTCAGTTTAGAGGGAATTCACCAGGCACCATAATCACTCAAAGCTGTGTCCTTGTGCACGGAAACACGCGCAGGAGCCGCAGATTGCCCTGACAACCACTCAGCCTGCGTGCTGAGAGCAGAGAGGCTGCCACCATGAGTCCTCAGAGACGCCAGGCCATGCCGTGGCTGAAGATAATACGATATGCTCCAGCTCTGACGGTTCAGACTAAATGTGCTCTTTAAAATATAGTTCTGCTACACTAAACATATCCACGTCAACAAACTCGGTTTTTCTCTCCCACCATGAAACACTGGCAGATAATGATCCACCTACCACATGAAGGATGAGAACTGTATATTTTTCACTGATTAAAGACTCCTATAAAGCAAACTCATAATTTCAGAAAAGGCCGATTATAACTGGGAACACTTACTTCAGATACTACTAATAACAAGTCCTTGCAGGCTAGGATTTTATGAGCTGTCAGGTCCAAACCACTTCTTTTATTTTCTCCAAACTGCTTTCTAGGCTCCAGGAGTCTCAATTTAACAACAAATTACATAGAAATAATACTTGTCTTTAGCCACAGGATGTTTCTATCAAATGGCACACTCACAAAACAGACAGACTTTGAAAAATGTCCTGACAGCCGAGTCATCTGATTTTCAGAAAGCTGTTTTAGCAGCCCTGTATAAACACCTGAGGGACCAGAATGTTTGTCAGTTCTTTCATGGCAAGATTTCAAAGTTCAAATAAAGCAAATTCACAGACTTGTGTTTATACTTTGTGGGCGGGCAGGGGTATTTTATCAGACAGATAAAATGATGGAAGAATTTCCACTTTTGAAGTCCTGCATGTTGCCTCTATAGCACAGTTGACTAAAAAATTTCCAAGTTACAGAAACGTTCAAGGGTAAGGCTTCCTAAGGTGATTACCTAAAGGCAGCATACTAACCACTGTTCCCCATTAAGGCTTAAAAGGTCTATCAGTTTTAAAATCTTTTTTATTTATTTACTTATTTATTTTGACAGGCAGAGTGGACAGTGAGAGAGAGAGAGACAGAGAGAAAGGTCTTCCTTTGCTAGAGCAGGCAAAGAAGAGTGCCTCCCCATATAGCACTAGGAATTATGGAGAAAGGAGCTTGGAGTCGATATGTTGAATTTTGATTTGAGAAGCGGAGAGAGACACATTGAGATCTTGCATTCACTGTCACACTCCCCAGGTACCCACAACAGCTAGGACTGGGGCTAGGCCTAAGCCAGGAGTGGGGGAACTCAATCTAAGTCTCCCATGGGAGCAGCAGGAACCCAATTACTTGAACCATCAGCTGCTGCCTCCCAGAGGTCTGCACAGCAGCCGGAGCCAAGTTATCCAGCCCAGGTACTCTGATGTGCAACATGGGCATCTTAACTCCCACTCTGTAGCTCATCATATAAGATAGGGCAGCCTGTCCCGAGATCCATAAAAATGCCATCCAAGATGTTAAACGGATTTAACAGACAACAATCAAACATCTGTGTTTAAATGGTGTGTGGTGAAGGGAGTTCCTTGTATTGGGTTGTTTTAATGTTTGATGTAACTTTATGAATTGCAACACTATAATAAAAGTACAATTATTAAAAGTTCAAAAAGCCCATCTCTCCAATTACTCTATTCAGTCTCCCATTTTACATTTTAAGGAGTTTGCCCTCTGCCCCTTCTTAGGTAGTAGTAACAAAATGGCCTTCCCAGTAACACATTTAACTACTTCCTCCGCCACTCCAAACTCTGAAGCTCTGAGACAGGCGAAGAGAGAAAAACAAAACAAAGCAAAGGCTCCCCAAAGAAACAGGAAATCAAAGTGACCAGAGAATCGCGCTGCTCACTCTTTCAGACTGCACAGCTGGTTACAAAACAAACCAAAAAACTTTTACCTCGAGCCATCTGAAACTCCTCTAACACGACTCGCTGCCCGGCCACACCCACGCAGCAGGCTCCCCGCAGCCTGCCTCACCACCCCGGTCACACTCAGCCCACGGCCCGCCCGCCCTGCGGAGCCCCGCACTCTTCCCTCCTCCTAGCAACGGTCCTGCCCAGACCGCAGCACGGCCGTGCCGGCCCAGCTGAGTGTTACTCAGCGGCTCTCGGGCCTCTCCGCAGACCGCGAGCTCGTCCTTCCTCTTTCGAAGGGAGCCGCGCGCGGTTCTCAGGATGGAAAGCTCCCTCTCCCGGGACAGCCCGCCCTCGGGACAGTCGCCGCGCGGCTCCGTCCTCTCCTCAGCCCCCTGCCCTCCACCCTATCAGCCGCTTCCTGTGCCCACCGCCCAGCGGGAACCTGCAGGTGGCACAGCCGCCCTGGGGACGTACTCCTGCCCGTGGTCTGAACGCTGAGCAACTGCTCCCTGGGTTTCCTAGCCGCTCCCTGAGGCTCAGCGCCTTGGTCCGCGCACGGTGTCCGGGCCGTCGAGAGGCGTCCCGCGTGCTCTCCAAGCCTTTCCTTCTCTGGGCCCCAGGGCCCACGGCTACTGCCCGCCGCCACCTGTCGGGCCTCCGTGCGCGTGGAGCCTGCGGGCAGCTGAACGCAGGGGACAGCCCCGGCTCTCGCTCTGGCTAAAGTTGCCCGACGCAAACTTTTCACCCGCCGGTCCCCCGGGTCTCGTACCTGGGGCGGCCGCGGCCTCGGACGTGCTCGGCCTCGGGATCCGGGCGTCGGCGGCAGCAGCAGGCGCCACGGCCGGAGGCCCCTCGGGAGCATCGTCGTGCGCGGGCGCCGGGGCTCCCGCAGCGTCAGCGGCGCATCCTCCCAGCGCGGCCCGGCTCCTCGTCAGAGCGGGGCGGCTGGCAGCGGGCGCTCGCCGTGGGCGCAGCCCGCCCCCCGCCTCCTAGCCGGAGCCGCGCGCCGTGGGCGGACTGACGGGAGGGTGTGGTGTCTCTGCTTCCACGTCTCCGCTTCACACACGCCCCGGCGCAACGCGGGTGCTTTCTCTCAGACCCAGTGTGAGGGAAGGAGCTAGAAACAGAGCACGAGGGCCAGACTGAACCGCCCTCCCGGGCTGGGGCGCCAAGGGGCCTCTCCTGTTTCCGCAGATGCCCCTTCCGGGATGAACCGGAGCAGATGACTCACCCCTTGCGAGCTGTCGAGTGCAAAATTCGTCAAGTCTGGACACTTGTGTGTTGGCAACTTCTTGTTTGTAAAAACAAACACAAGTCACGGAAAAGCAACTGAAACCAAGCTTTCAAGAGGGTTGTCACAGAACATTCAGGCGCAGGTGCTTGGTGCAGCAGGGAAGATGCCCCTGGGGACATCGCATCCCATATGTGCTTGGGCTCCTGATTTCTGCGTCCTGCTAAGGCAACAGGTGAGACGACTCAAGTACTTGGATCTCTGCTACCCACATGTGAAACAGGGATTGAGTTCCAGCCTCCTGGTTTGGCCTGGCCCAGCCACAGCTATTGAGGGCATTTGGGGAGTGAACCTGTAAGGGGGGGAGATCACTCACTCTCACCTTTCATATAATAATTTTTTGAGTTCCATGCCAACTACTATGTTTTAGTATGAGTTATGTCTCAAATAATACCTGGGTCACACTTATTCTTTAATCAATGAAGTATCTGGGATATACATATATAAAATTATTTACCTTCAATTCTGATTTAACTGGGCACCCCGTATTTTTATTTGCAAAATGTTTAATTAATCAAAGTTAGCAAACAGTGTCACAGCTGTCATATCACTCCTGATGATTTTCTGTCTTTATAGAAAAAAGAACTGGAAGTTTCTATGATAGTAAAAATTAAAAACTGATTCGCATGTGTTAATTAGCATCTGTTTCAAAATACAATTGCTGGGGCCTGCGCTATGGCATAGCGGGTAAAGCTGCCGCCTGCAGTGCCCGCATCCCATATGGGTGCTGGTTCGAGACACAGCTGCTCCACATCCAATCCCACTCTCTGTTATGGCCTGGGAAAGCAGTAGAAGATGGCCCAACTCCTTGGGCCCCTGCACCCACGTGGGAAGACCTGGAAAAGGCTCCTGGCTTCAAACGGCGCAGCTCTGGCCGTTGCGGCCAATTGAGGAGTGAACCAGCAAATGGAAGACCTCTTTCTCTCTTTCTCTGCCTCTCCTTCTCTCTGTGTAACTCTGACTTTCAAATAAATACATCTTAAAAAAAAAGCAACAATAAAAGTTACAACTATAATTCATATGTCTCTAGTGTTTTTTTTTTTTTCTGTAAATTTATGCAAGGAGCTTATCTTCGGGAAATCAAGATATCTGTCATCAACCAAGAAAAAAAGTTCCATCTCATTTTATAGAAAGAACCTAATTTTAAAACTGCTTGAATTAAAAATCTCCCACTCTGCTACTAATTAACCTGTGGTCTTGTGTTGGTTCTTCACTTCGATGAACCTCATTTTTCTTATGTGGAAAACAGGAATAATACTAATAATCTGAGCCATAGTATTAAAATGAGGGTTAATGAGATAGTAAAGGATCTAGTATGTTGCAAGTGTCTTAAAAAGGGTAGCTCCTTTCTTTAAAATCGATTTGTAAGGAAAAAATCCTGACTGTTTAGTAGGAAAGAGGTTTATAAAATGACATTAAGGGTTGGCGCCACAGCTCACTAGGCTAATTCTTCGCCTGCTGCGGCGCCAGCATGCCGGGTTCTAGTCCCAGTTGGGGCGCCAGACTCTGTCCCAGTTGCTCCTCTTCCAGTCCAGAGATGCTGTGGCCCAGGAGTGCAGTAGAGGATGGCCCAAGTGCTTGGGCCCTGTACCCGCATGGGAGACCAGGAGGAAGCACCTGGCTCCTGGCTTCGGATCAGCACAGAATGCCGGCCGTGGCGGCCACTTGGAGGGTGAACCAACAGAAAAAGGAAGACCTTCCTCTCTCTCTCTCTCTCTCACTGTCTAACTCTGCCTGTCAAAAATTAAAAAGAAAAAAGAAGGAAAATATTTCAGAAATGAGACCCAGACATCAACGTAGAATGAACACACAAGAAGATCCTGTTCATTTACTGAGGATTTTGCCTTACCCTTATGTTTTTTCTAGTCATGATAAGCAGATCTTTTCTATTGGCTCTTCACTTTCAGGCCAATTTTTTTTTTTTTTTAAAGATTTACTTCATTTATTTGAAAGAGTTAGAGACAAAGGGAGGGAGAGAGAGAGTAAGAGTTATCTTCCATCTCAAATGGCTGCAACAATGAGGCTGGGCTAGGCCGAAGCCAGGATACTGGAACTCCACCCAGGTTTCTCACGTGGATTGCAGGGGCCCAAGTATGTGGATCATCTTCTGTTGCTTTCCCAAGCACATTAGCAGGGAGCTGGACCAAAAACAGAGCAGCTGAGACTCAAACTGGCACTCCATATGAGACTACAGCCCCTAGTGGAAGAATTTACAATGCATTTCTCCTTGTCTGGGTTTCAAAACATAACAAAGGGTTCTTTTCTGGGTTTCAAAACATAACCAAGGGTTCTTTATAATAAAGGTTGAGAGCTGTCATTACATAGTGAGCTTATACAATTAGACCTAAAAACAGTTATCTCTAACCAAATGAAAACTATAGTATGTTAACCTGAAATAGCAACCATTTGAAATTTTAGGGCTATAGAAAGTAACCAAGACTACTCCTAAAGAAGACATTTTGGGGAAGCAGGGTCAAGACAATACATTTTATTTACTGCCACTTCTTTAACACTTGGAGATTATTAAACACATGAATTGTACGGTCTGCCAATGATGCAAGGGTATGGGAAATAGCTTCATTTTTATCCTTATTCTCAAAATCGTGTCAAAAGTTACTTTCTATTAACAATAATGATAAGCACAGACATCGTGAAATAGGATATGGAGATTCATTAAATAAGGAAATCTTGGTTGCTTTCTCCTAAGGAAATAATGTGTCAAAAACAAAAACCCACAGGAAATAAATGTCCCATGATAGAAGAATGCATTATGAAATCATAATACATCAACACAGTGATTATTAGCCATGCAAAAGGCTAAAAAGTCTACAGATATACGTAGAACTGTGTATAATTTAAAAATATAAAACATGTAAACTGTGATTGTAAAATATATCATCATAAACGGACTTAAAGCTCATATGTAAAACAAAATAGGTATATTTGGATAGAGATTATAAATTCCTCTTGTTCATACTTTCTAGAAATTATAGCAATGTAGTTTGACATTTTCAGTTATTTGAATGTGTGTGTTTATGTGTGGGGGTAAAATAACAAATTCCTCAAAATACCTTTCTGTTGTAATAGGTCTGATGGCTGTGTGACCGAGGTCACAGGTTCAACTGGGTGATGTGCAGTGGGAGGCATTCTTGACGATGGAGCTCCTGGCACAGCAGTAGATACTACTGGGCTGGACTTGGGAAGATGAACATTTGGTGGAACAGGACTGGATGAAGAGTCTGCAACGGAAGAGAAGAAACTATTGGATTAACAGCAACAGGGCTGAAATATTCTGAAACAGACTTACTAACAAAATACAGTTTATCTGAAGTTCCTGCAGAAGCTTTGGTGACAGCACATTTCTCTAATATATCTATAAAAGGCAGTTCAGCGGGTCAAGTGTCCGGCTCCACAGTTCAGACACCGCTTGGGACTCACTGAGAGTGCCTGCTTCAAGTCCTGGCTCTGCTTCCGAGACCGTTTCCTGATCATATACATCACGAATGCGTTCCATCTGCTAATTCACCCCCCAAATGCCCAAATTCCATGATTGGCAGAGCTCAACTCCTTGAGCTATCACCAACTGCTTCCCATGGTCTTTATTAGTAGGAAGCTGAAGTCTGGAGCCAGAGGCGGTACTGAACCCAAGCACTCCAATGAGATGCGCATTTCATTTCTAGGGCAAACACCCACCCTTGTTTTCACAATTTTAACAGCAATTTTCCTAAAACATTTCACCTTCTTCCTTACCATCGTAAATAAAATAAACCCCAAACAGCTTTTCTTTACTAACGATCACTACCATTAATTGTTAGCCAATACAGTTGTATCTATGGTAAGACAATGGAGAGACGTTGATTGACTCTGCAATAATGTGGTCCTTGAATTCTGTAGGTGCTCCCAGCATCAGCTCAAGTTTCATTGTGCACCGTGAACTGCCACTTCTCATCTGCTATTTCTAACCAGATGCCTTATTTCGCGTGGAACTAGGGAATGGACTTGCAGTAACCGCAGGCTTGACTTGTGGAATAAAGTATTTGATTCATAGTGGACCCTTGTGACAGCTCATATCACCAAATATCTCCTATGAGGCAAAAATGCCCTGGATGAGAAACAACACAGGACAATCCAATTCAAGATTATCCAACTGGAGCCAGTGTCCTACTATAGCAGTGAGAGCAGCCACCTGTAATGCCGTCATTCTGTATGGGCACTAGTTTGAGTCCTGGCTGCTCCACTTTTAATCAACCTCCCTGCTGATGGCCTAGTAAAACAACAGAAGATGGTTCAAGTGTTTGGACCCCTGCACCAATGTGAGAGACCTGGATGAAGCTCTTGGCTCCTGGCTTCGGCCTGGCCCAGCCTTGGCCATTGCAGCCATTTGAGGAGTAAACCAGTGGATTTAAGTGCCCCACCCCCCACCTCATCTCTTCTCCTCGCTCTGTAACTCTTTGAAATAAATAAACCTTTTAAAAAATGTACAACTAAGAGGTAAATAAAAAGCCTATGGCAAAACGTAACGGTCAGTAGTGTTTATGTACTGATAAATGTACACATATGTATACATGTACATCTATGTACAGATGGATGATTTTGTGTCGATGTAAGTAAACGCGGGTCTAGGGCTAAGACGAATGTAGAATACAGTGACTGAACTAAATGTTACTTATATGCCCTAATAGCATGAACATGTTCTAAGCATGAGGAACGGGAAGAGAAGGTAGAAGGAAGGTAGTCTAAATACGCTGATTACTTCATTATTTTTCGTAGGAAGAAAGGCTGTCACTGTGGAGGATGGAAAACATCACAGTATCTTGCAGCTCCTTTCACCATGGTAGAGTATTTTCCCACCCGCTGAATCAGAGCTAACCCTGTGGCTGGCTTCAATCAACAGGATACACTTACAGGAAAGGTACACAAGTCCCAGAACTCCAGTCTCAAGAGGCCTTGCAGCTTATGCCTTTCTGCTCAGGAAATGCTGCCGTCTATCACGCAGGGAGGCTAGTCTAGTCACATGTGCACAAAAACCTCATTGTCCCAGGAAAGAGTCTACACCAACTGCCAGGTAGGTAGGTGAAGCCACCCAGGATCTTGTAGCCCAGTAAACCCTCCAACTAAAGCAATTCATATGAGCAGATCCAGGAAAAACAGCAGAGAACCTTTCCCGCCAACCCACAGAACCATGAAAAGTAGTTTCACTTGTGAACCAGCAATAGAGAACTGGTAGTGTCATTAAAGCTACAAATGTAAGTGATAAAATCATTTCACAGTATATAATTAAAAACTAAGAAAAATACAATCATCTAAAATCACATGTATATATGCGCATGTATGTATATATACATACATGAATATGTATAGCTTAAAACACAGTAAAATAGATATCCATGAGCGTGGCATCCAACTTTTACAATACAGTCAAGTGTCAGTTAACAGGGACATGTTTGGAGAAATCACCACTAGGCAATTTGGTCATGATGTGAACATTACAGGGTATCTTTGCACACACCTAGGCTATATGGTATATACACAGTACATCCTATTGCTCCTAGGGACATGACCAACAAAACAGGAAGAGGTTATTACTCGAGCAATTGATACAATCAAGAGATGCAATGAATCTAAGATGTATAGTGCCACTGTCAGGATTAACTGCATAGTATTTTACTGTTTTTGTAACTAGGAACCCACTCTAATGATAAATAGTAAATAGCCTAGTCGTTCATTATTACGTACAAAATACAGAATTTCATGTGCTATGCATTTATATAACTAGCAACACAACAGGGTTGTTTACACCAGCATCACCACAAACATGTGAATAACATTTTTACCACAATGTTACCATGGCTATGACCTTACTAGACAACAGGAATTTTTCAGCCACATTTTACCTCTGTGGCACTAATGCCATACACGCAGTTTGCCACCAAACAAAATGTCATTATGACGCACATGGCTGAGAAACAACCCTGCTGAAGCTCTGAGTGTGCTCCTCACAGGAGGCATTCCTTTGCCTCCTCCTAAATTATATTTATTTTCTGTTGCTTTTCTTTTTAAATATTTTAACAAACATGTGAGGTATCCCTTAACTGCATTTCCCCCCCAGTTTTCAGTTATCTGAAAGGCAGAGAGAGAAACAGACAAACACAGAGATCTTCCATCTGCTGATTCACTTCCCAGCTGCCTACAACAGGCAGGGTTGGACCAGTCCAAACCCAAGATCCAGGAACTCAATCCGGGTCTCCTATGTGGATAATAGGGACCAAGTACTGGAGCCATCACTTGCTGCTTCCCAGAATGCACATTGGTAGGAAGCAGGAATTAGAGGTGAGGCCAGGACTTGAACCCAGGTATGTGGGCATCCCAAGTGGTGTCTTAAGCACTGCACCAAACACCTATCTCCCTGCACATTATTTTCACTTTTTTTTTTAAGCTTTATAACAGCATCTCCACATATTGATCTTCTTCTGTGATTTCCTATGTTACGTTTCTGGGACCTATTACTGCTATAAGCACAGCTCTAGTTCATCATTGTCACTGCAACTGAGAATCTATAGGAACATAATTTACCCACACAACTAAAAATTGTCTTTTAAATTAAATTGTTTCCAATTGGGGCCTGCGCTATGGAACAGTGGGTTAAAGCCCTGGCCTGAAGCGCCAGCATCCCATATGGGTGCCACTTCAAGACCCAGCTGCTCCAATTCTAATCCAGCTCTCTGCTATGGCCTGGGAAAGCATTACTAGACAGCCCAAGTCCTTGGGCCCCTGCACCCAAGTGGGAGATCCAGAAGAAGCTCCTGGCTCCTGGCTTCAGATCAGCGCAGCTCCGGCCATTGCGGCCCGTTGGGGAGTGAACCATCAAATGGAAGACTCACAAATACTCTCTCTCTCTCTCTTCCTCTCCTGTCTCTGTGTAACTCTTTCAAATAAATAAATAAATCTTTAAAAAAAGTGTTTCCAATTGTTTGTCTTCACAAACACTGCAAGTATGAATATTCGGGAATATGTCCCTGGTAAAGATGGGCAAGTTTCTTAGGGCAGGGTTTCTCAGTGTATGTGTGTCACAGCTCAAACAGGTGAAGATGGCTAGCGAGGGATACCAAATCTAAAGGATTAACGGGGGTGGGGGATGGGGGGTGGAACTGTGGTGTTTGGCCTACAGAGCACATTCTGCTCTTTAGCTCAGTATCCCAAAACAAGGGTGCTGCATATCGAAAACAGAAACCAGCACTCTAGAGCCATTCTCATCAAAGTGTAGCCTATGGACTAGAAACAGACATCGCAAAAGGCTTGCAGAAATGCAGACTCTTGAGCCAAGCCATACTAGACCCAGTGAATCAAAACCTACATTTTCTCAAGATCCCAGGTGACGTGTATGCACAAAGTTTGAGGTCAGCTTCTATGGAGTACACAGGAGTGGGAGAGCTGAACTTTACGGTGTGGATATCTTCAATTCCACTAAGGTCCAGTCTTCCCAAATACCCAACCAGCACGCCCCCCTCAGTTACTAAGCATTACTTAGCAGTACTCCACTTCTTCAGCACCTCTAGTACTGTCCAACTCTCGAATTTTTACTCATCTGATATGCTAGGTAAAAGAGATCCACTCTAGCTTTAATTTGGTTTTCCCTGATTATCAATGAGGCTGAATATGTTTTAATTTCTTTTTATGAAAATGACTACTCATGTATTTTTCTCTTGGTTGTTAACCTCTTGCTTACTAATTTGTATATGCTACTTATATATTATGGATAAGTAAGTGCTATAAATATTTTATTCTCCCTGCTCACAGCTTCTTTTCTTTTCTTTCTTTTTTTTTTATTTATTTATCAGAGTTACACAGAGAAAGGACAGGCAGAGAGTGAGAGAGGTCTTCCATCCGTTGGTTCACTCCCCAGATGGCTGCAACAGCCAGAGCTGCACCGATCCAACGGCGCACCGCGCTGATCCGATGGCAGGAGCCAGGAGCCAGGTGCTTTTCCTGGTCTCCCATGATCTTCTACTGCTATCCAAGGCCATAGCAGAGAGCTGGATCGGAACAGGAGCAGCCGGGACTAGAACCGGCACCCATATGGGATGCCGGCACGTCAGGCCAGGGCTTTAACCCACTGCACCACAGCACCGGCCCCCAGCTTATTTTCTTTTCAATGAAGAAAACTTTTAAGTTAGAAATTAGTTAATAGCCTCTCTCTGTCTCTACCTCTCTCTGCAACTCTGTCTTTCAAATAAATAAA